CTATTGAAAGTTTGAATGAATCTTTAAAGAAAACGCCCTTGAAAGAATAAATAGGGAAAGAATAAAAAGTATCTGTAAACAATTCTTATAGAATCACCCAATGCTAAAAAAAGACGCAATTTAGACTGATGCGCGCTAAATGAAGTATGCCGATTATATAATGTGATAGCTTGTTTGTTTTCATTAAATTTATATAGCATTTACTACTGTATTTGTGATGGTGGCGACGCCAACAGGCAGTTTATCAAAATCCATTTTCCTAACTGCAGCCCAATGGACTTACATTTTATCGGTTATAATATGTGGACGGAAGAACCAATGATATTTGAAATGGATTGTAAGGTAATCGATACGCGATAATTAGGATCATCACTGTTGTTTGGCGTACATCATATTATATAGGCGTGCTGTTATATAGTATTTATTTTAATCATTGTGCTCAACTATATTTTACAGCACAACGTTAAGAAAATTCGTAACAATATCGAAAAAAACTCGTCTTCAGGAACAACAAGATGCCTAACAAAAGATGGAAAAAATATTTTCTGGTCTCACTGGAAGGAGGCATATGTATGGGATCAAACGTACAACTCTAATCATTGCCATGAGCGTCTAAAAGAAGAACATTTTGAACTTACTCCAAGTTCCAGAATGAGAAATAGCCTTGCAGAAGATCTTTTAAACAAACGGATGTTCAATCTCTTGAGAGTATGTTTAAGGATAATATTCATAATAACATATTAATTGTATATCCACACTAAACAATAGGAAATTTTTCCAATTTCTAAATTCTTACTCAAATATATTTATGCTGACTTTCTAAAATTTTCTGTTATTTTAATTGTAGGCCTATAAGGGGCATCTAATGATAACAAGTGGTCAGGAAAATGCAAATAAGCTGAATGAGTCGATCGAGCTACTGAAACATACAAGTGCTATGGTAGAATTGTTTTCTGACAAACATGTGATATACGACCCAAGTGATATTCGCATCCAGCAAATGGACAACGCACTGAATTATTTCACCGACTGGAAAGATCAAGTGGGAGAAGCCAAAAATCAGTTTTTGTCTGAAAAACTTTGGTTTGATTTACAGTCGATGATCCTCGGTTTTCGTTCCATACTTGAAGTGAAATTATCTCGATTTCCTGAATCGGTCATTAAGCCTGCGATCATGAATCAAGATTTGGTTGAAAATCATTTTTCCCAACTACGGGCAGCAAATGGTCAGAATGAAAATCCGACCTATCTCCTCACGCAAGCCACACAAAACTCTGTGATATTTGGCCAAACGAGGATCAGCCGAAAAGGAAATACTGGAACAAAAAAAAAATCATCGTTTTCTGCATTACCAAAAGAGCACATCTTCAGCAAAAAAAAGCGAAAATCAGTGTAATCAGTGTAACAACAGTGTACATGACTATCTGTCATAAACTGATACACAGTAAAATGCAATTTTACTATATGCTAAATGTACGTTTTTACCTTCATACCATGCAGTATGCAAAGTTTTTAAAGACATTATAATGAACAATTCGATCCAGTTGATCCTACATCTGCTAAATTGTGACATTAACGTTGATTTAAACAATTCTGTTATTAAAATAGTCATAGACGACGGATCTTTAGTGGTGGAATGCGATGGCTGAAATCCGCTGCCGATACTTGATTAACAACTGTATAACGTGACATAACCTGATGGCTCGGCATGTTTGGGCATTGAGTTATTGATGATGCAAGTTCTGACCCAAGTTTTTCCTTATTCCATCTGGTAACAAAGCGAATATTGTATGCACTGCATAAACGTTGCAAATCACATTTAGAATACAAACGTATCAGGCCTTTGTGCGTCAATTCATTCACTAGCGACAACAATCGTGCGTGAGAAATTTTCTTACCCGGGCTCCGATCTTGCTCTATCTGTTGAAGATGAACTTTCATCTTCTTCTCGTTAGCTTTTTCCTTTCGCTGAAACACGGCCTTTCGATGGGCAAGTGATTTTTTCAAGTGATAGTCTCGTCGAAAATCACGAAGAAATTGCCCTGCACCCATCTTCATATACCTTTCAATAATCTCAGCAAGTAGCTCATTCACCAACTCCTTTATTAAAATACGAATATTTTAGAACTAATAGAATCTGTATGAAGTTTCACAACTTTCACGACTAGATTAGAAAAAAAACTTCATTTAGAATCAATTAACATGCATCCAAAGTGATAAAATTTTGTTGGCAAAATTAAAAAAAAAACAGACAGTTAAACGTACCTGATCCCCTTCTTCTTCCAATTGAAACAAACTGCCAAACTGATTTCTCATGGTTTGGTTGCTTGAAATTGCATGTATACCAATATCAACCATGTTGGATTGATAAGACGCCAACTTCGCAAGGTTAATATTACTCACTCTTTCTTGCTCCAGTGCCATGAAAAAGTCATATGCTCCGTCACTTATATGCAACAAACCTCTTTCTCGAAACTGACGAGATTCAGTAACATTCAGTGTCTCGGGATTTGTTGTAATATCACTGAGAGCTGCGAACGGTATCACCAAATTGTTTTCCAGCAGGTGCATTTTCTTCATTTCTTTCGTAACCCTCTCGCAAACAGCCATATTGTCAGATTTCTTGTTTTCTTCTACATAGCGTCGACTCTTTTCAAGGGATTTTCTTAGTGCCCAGCCTCCAACGTATCTCATCTTTCCTTTTCCTTTCGATCCCATTTCATCTACTCTGAAACAAACCGGATCCTGCTGCTCTTGCTTTTGCACTCGCGTTGCTACCTCCGAGGTAAACAAACCATACAGATGAAACAGCAACTACGCTGTGAACGTTTTTTGGCTAGCGTTCACATCTGACCATCTCTTAACATTGAATGCACTAATTACGCAACTGCGATACTCGTTGGTTATGAACAGCTCATGAAGCTTTCCTGTTGCGCACGTGAAGTTCTTATTCGTCATGTGCAAATCTTCTAAATTCTCTGTAAGGTAATCACTAAATAATGTGAAGACCTTTATCCAAAGGACACATGCCAACAAGTTGAATGATTCCACGTTTTCTTTCGCAAAACTGGCGGCTGAATTAATTGATTCCGAAAATGGATCGTTGCATTTACTGCTCGACTCGATGAACGATTTAATATCAAAATCAGATAGAAGACGAGAAAGTTCGTTAGTAAAATCACTTAAACACAGCAACACATCTTCAAGATTAACTGATACACCTTCGGCTGATTCAAAACAACTTTTTGCGGCTGCCTCGTATTGCATGCAATCACCTTTCGTACTACCACCCAATCCATCTTCATCATTAATGCAGCTTTCATCTTCTTTGCCTTCAACGACAAAACATGTTTTGTCAATTTCAATCTTCTTACAACAACGAAATGTTGTTAATGGATCTCCTGAAGACGTTGTTATCAATTTGGTTAGTGATGGTGGAGGTGGCAATAAAAAATGTTTGCGGAATCCCACAACTCTGACGTCGTCTTTGCGCCTAACTCTGGAAATTGCCACGTACGTTTGACCCGGAATAAATTCTGGAGAACAGTGAACAACTATACATTTCATTGTTAAGCCCTGTGCCTTGTGGGTGGTGATTGCGTAACAAAGTGTTAACGGAAATTGAGTGCGACTGGCTTTTACTCTCCCGGCTTTGTCATACTTGTACCAAACTCTGCGTTGTATTGTAACCAAACCAACTTTTGGAAAATTTACTACCAAACCTTCATTTTCCTGAACACCAACAAATTCCCCGCAAGTCCCATTTCGCAAGTGGTTACTTATATTGTAAAGTAGCATGACTTTACATCTTGGTTTTAAACAAAGAATTGCACCTATCGTCCTGTTAAAGGATTTGGCACAACCGGTATCTAAACTTTAAAACGTTAACTTCGGCCCAGGAAGAGGAGCCAAAATAGTGGTATTATGCACTTCCACCGGAAGCCTCTTGAAGTAAATATGAATTGGAGATTCTGCTTGACTGTCTGGTACACAGGGGAGCTTTCTCGATAATGGAAAAGTATTGCTCAGTTTCGTCGTCGCATCTGCAGCTTCTTAAAATATCCAATGCTTCTTTAAACCGTATTTCCGACTCGTCTTGCCGCAAGATTTGGGTCAGCTCGAACCTATGGGGAAAAGCTTCTTCAAACAACTTCGATTCATATACTGGATTTCCATTGTCCATCACACTCTGATTGGCTCTAGTTGCCAAAAAATCTCCCACTAATATAACCTGAAGGCCGCCAAATGGAAATGAATTGCTTGATAGTTCATGATGTAGCAAATTAAACAGGTTTAATAAACGTCAGCTTGACATAGAGATTTCGTCCCAAATTAGCACATCAATGTCCCTAATCTGTTCGATTATGTTCTCACGCTCAAGACTACGCTTTATTAACTTGTTTTGCGGCAACTCCACTGTTTGTAAACCGTACACGCCTAAAAACGCACGCGTTGATGCACGTTGATATCAACTTGTTCGCGGTTGTTCTCGACAGGATTGAACAATGTTGTGCTGCACCCTGTCAACAAGCTTGTTAACAATATTGTTCGTGCGTGTTAAAACGATGTTGTTCACGGTTGATGGATGAACAAGACCTGAACAAGTTGTTGCAACAGCCCAAATCAATCTGATATCATGCGTGATTTACGATGTCAACAATCGTAAACAATGATGATTCAACATTGCGTAAAACAGCATGATGACAAGCATGTTGAATGATGTTTTAACAGCTCAAAATATGTTGTTCCAACAACATTGTTTTTTCAATCTTTGGCCGGGGGGTGTTCGCCGCCGCCGCTACAGTTCACTGCGCCGCCATGCCTGTGACGGATCGAAAATGAAAAGTATCCGTTTCACCAATGGAATAATGTATTCATTTTAATTTAATAAATACAAAGGTACGACTTTATATTAAACTTTTTAGATAAGCAAAGTAAATTAACTCTAAGTCTCTAACTGCTTGACAAATAAATATTTCTTCCCGTGTATAAAAGCTCCTGCGATTCAAACTTCAAAGTAGTTTATATAAAACAGTTTTTAACTGCTTTAATAAAGTATTAAACAGCTCCATAAAAACAAAGGTCTTATACTCATATGAGTCTGAATTGAGAGATGAAAAAATATTAATTTGAGGATGCATTAGCGGCTTAACTGTCAAATTACTAATTACTGCAATACATTATTTGAAACCACACCCTGTAGTAATAATTCTATATTATGATTACATATATGTTCATACATAGATTCATGAAATATTGAAATATTTAAGGGATTCCCCAAGATAAAACTTGTTCACCAAGTAGTAACAATGATTTGTGTTGTGAACAAACTTATATGTTGCTTTACTCACAGCCTCCCTTTCAACTGTCACAGTTGTTTGACTCTCTTTATAACAACATCTTCCTGCAGAGCAATCATGGATGAGGCATACTTGTTCAATAACACACTGAGGTGACAACAATTTCACTTGCCCAGTTAGTTCAACCTTGGGACACTGAAATGCTCCGAATATTTGGTTTTCCAATTCATCTTTGGCGAATCTCACTTCCTCAACTGCCACAACTTCTTGGTCAGGATTTTTGATCTTGATTCCTTTTTTGAAAATACCAAGATGATGCTGAAATAAGCAGTGATTGATTAATATTTTTTGCGCACATTTTTGGTGAGTTCATTGTTACTTAATTAAGATTATATAAATATGATTGTTGTGAGACATCCACGCATGAGATATCAATGCTTATACTGAACAGGAAAACAATGGTTATAATAAAATTAAAAGTATATATAAGGTGATCGGAATGTAATTACAAAGAATTAAGTCAATTGTAGAGTTTGAGAACGTAAATACATTTGGTTATTCCTATAATATATGTTCAATTATCTTGAATGCATCAGTAAAGCCTTATTGTGGTACTATATAATAACTGCAGGTGTTACTAATGTGTTAACCTTGTAACAATGAATTTGAGGCCTCTAACATTTGTTTCATATACTCATGTTGTATTAATCTTATATGTACCTGATGCTGGTCATCCACATATACAATGGCTGAACCTGAATTAATAAGAGTTTGCCTCTCACTAAGAACAGCTTTAAAGGATGTGACTTCTGTATCATAAGGGAGACCAGCTGCTTCAATTGCGACTTGTTCTAGGCACTCACTCAGAGGCTTTGTCTGCAGTTTCCCTTTGTCATAGTTTCCCTAAAACAAAGAGGCAGTCAATTATTGATGTTTTAAAGTTTTAACTTCATTTCTGTTACAAAATTATAATTTATATATGAACTAAACTACAATATGAAATAAACTACAAATTGTTTACTTTTCTTAAGCATCCAGGGTGATAAATTGCTTTATCTTCCATGCTCTCCTTCTTTGGGATGTTGTCCAAAAATTGTTGCAGCTTTGGTTCTTTTGCCAAGTTTTTGATGCATTCTGATGCTTGTAAGCTAATATGTTATATATAGAGTACATGGAATTAATATTATGCAAGGCACATGGACAAGCTGAAGCAATTCTTGCAAACACATCTGATATCAACTATATATTGCCTATAGCAAACTTGTTTGTTACAAGTATATAGTCACCTGTGGTCTTTTCCCCATGTTCCTCCTCTTAGGACAAAGCGAAGCCTTTCCATCTTAGCAAATTTTGTACATATATCTAAGCTTGATGCATGCCTGTTGCTGTTTATATTTAATCCTCTGATGAAATGATTGAAGGCCTCAAATCTAAAATATCGATTTATTTGGTGTATTAAAAGTTTGTAAACATGTTTATATAATTATATAGGTATACTGTGTTTTTTCAATCTTGTCGTTAATGTGTGGTTTTACCTTTCAGTGCAGAAACCATTTGCTGGCCCCAGGCTTTCAATGTCATCAACAAGATGTAGCAGGAGATGTACTTTAGCCTTCTTTTGAAATTCAGGGTAGGTTCTTGCCACTGCATTTGTAAATTTTTGGACTAGCTGCTTTGCTGCTTCTGAGTTCCTCTTGTCAAATTCACTTGAATATGCTAAGATGAATATCTACAATGAATATTGAACATAGAATAGGTATAAAGATCTTGAGATAGAGAATTTTTGGATTCCATTTTCACAGGATTATGAAGAGTTATCTGCTGCTCAAAAGTGCATTGACAGTCACCAAGGTCTAACAATTAATTCCAAAAGCATATGTTAATTGTTAATATGTTATGTTTCCTATATTCCTTTCAGCACATGTATTATGTATCTGGTGTTATACCTCGCTCAACAATTCCCAGACCAAGAGTTGTTCAAATGGAATGATATCTTGCAGAACAAAGACAGCAACTTGCATCCACAATTTGTAATCTCTTCCAACATATGAGCCATAGTTTCTTGTGATGTTTCCCCTGATTGTGGCTGAAAATGCACTCATGTCAAGTGCTTGAATCTTTGCATGGAGCTGGTTTTTCAATTGCTGAGGTAGGGATTGAATTGTGTTGGATAGCATATACTTAACAGGCCCAAGTAGAATTGTATGCAGTATTTCAATAGGAGTTTTGCTAAATAAAAGCAAAATGTAATTAATAGTACCAATAGAACAGGTGCTATAGAAGTTGCTGCTTATATCCCACAAATTTACAAAAGGGTATTATTACCACCTAAAGAACACCTTCAACTGTAGTATTGTAGACAGTAGTAGTAGTAGACAGTAGTAATGTACTGTCTACAAGTTTTGCAAGGTGAAAATGCCAGTAATCGCACATTTGGGTCGCCACACATTTCGAACCGTATCTGCATACATACTTATTTCCACGAAAGCACTTCAGCTTGTCGAACGCTCCGCCTTGTTCTGTTACTCCGCATTCACTTCTTTTAATTTTTTTCTGGTTTTCAGTTCTAGTGTTGGCAACAAGAATTTTACTGTGGGTAAATACGGTTTCAAATTTCTATGGTAAGTCAAAATTTTAAAATAAACGGGTTTTTATTAACATACGGACAATCTTGTATTTCATGGATCTTCTCTTGAACGTATTCATCACTTCGTATTTCTTGAATTTCTGTTCCATTATCAGATGTTGCCTATGGTGTAATTAAATGTTTTAACCTCGCGCACACATGCATGTATAACATGTAAAATCGTGTATTAAAACGCAAAAGGGCAGAGCCTCTCCCCCATTTATTGCCTCTAGATTTCCGAAACCGCGAATTTCGAGTCACGAATTTGGAAGTTGCTTTTTATCAAGTATATAGAAATTAACGTACTTTACACTTTCTACAAAATTTGTTTGCACAGCTTCCCAAGTGATGCGAATTCTGATGCCCGTGGATTGTCCGCTAACACGCATAATACAGGTGACTTTACCAAAATGTTCTCATTAAAATGCGCGTCGTACATTAATTTACCTTCTTCGAGTTCTGCAACGAAATGAGACAAAAAGACTGAGCATGTAGCACTATTTTTGTCGTTTTAAACCATAATTTGAAATTTTGACTCTACCTTGTAGGTCACAGGCAATGGATTTCCCAAGTGCAACAGACGGAACTACGTTAGATGTGCTAATAAAGTGAATGTTTTCGATTTTTCGAAATTCGTTTCGTGGAAGGCCCGCCAAACTCATCGAGAAACTCTCCAACCGATTCCATTTCTTCGTTGTGTTTCCGCTTGTTTCGTCGCTAAAGACGAGCAACGGAACTGTGGAAGTCGGATTTTTTCCACCGGATTGTATCCTGTCGACGTGTGGTGCAAGAATGTCTTTGGCTTCCTGTGATAAAAAGGTTTTAATAATAAAACGTTATTATACAAAGAACAAGAAACCGCGTATGGATTTACATAAATATATGCTACTGTTTAGGAGTTTATTAGTTGCGCAAACCTGTTCTGATACTTCAGACGCTTGTTCGTTTACATATTTCTGCTTTATTTGACGAGGATGTAGATCAACTTTACATTGGATACTGGAAGTATGGATGGTCACTATCACATCTGGACAAATGCAATAACGTCCATCCCCTTCATCTTGAATATATTCGATTTTTGTCAAAATTTCCGTTTGGTTGCGAATGACCTAAAATTAAACTGACACTATAGAAGTCGCAAGCCGGTTACAAATATAGTTCAGCTGATTCGAGTATGATTATCTTTCCAAAATCGTAGCCCCTTATTCTCTAAAGTTCCTAGGTAAACGTGGAAAGCCAACCTAATATATGGGTCTAAAAAATCGACAACCCATCATCCGTTCCGTGTTCGGAGAGGACTGGAAGCCGGACAATCTTAATGGAATCTGTTTTTAAAGCACTGCACACTTACCTTAGCGAAGAATTTGGTTAGTTTTCCTATATATATATCCCCGTCAGATAAAAATTTCACGATATCTTTCAGATAATACGTCGTTCCGTTCACAGAGATCGATGAGCTTTGAAAGTCTTCGTTTTCCAACCACTTGCGTCCCTGTATCAAAGGGAATACATGTACTGTTCATTCTGCAGTTCAGTGTACGCGTTATCTTGCTTCGTGTGCATGGTATAAAACATTTGGACAAAGTTGTACCCATAGGCGTACGGGAAAGTGAAGCTGGGCTCCCCCTCCTCCTTTTCGGGCAAAACGTGTCTTGTCATTCAGGCAACGACGTTACAACGGTCTATTTAGAGGTATTTCAACAAGTTCAATTTTTACAGGTTTACTACAAATAGCGTAGATTGGATTTGGTTTCGATTCTTACGCATATCCACAGACTGTAAATGATAGCCTTTCAAAGGAAAGTCTGTCACCTGTGGTCTTCTCAGATCATATAATTTTATGATGACGTCACGAAATCTATGACGTCATGTCTTCGGACAAATTTAGTCCAGCCCCCGTACGTATGAAAATCTGCCCGTACGCCTATGGTTGTACCTATAAATCTAACCTGTGGCATCTCGTTAATATACGTGTCGTCTCTTCTGGAAATCTCATAAGCGCACTGGCTCTGGTTGGTATTGCGAGTTGAAGTTGAACGATATCCGAAGGCCGTAACCAGTAATATGGATAGCCGTTGTAATAATCCTAGAAATTGAAATGTTTACCTGTGTTAATAAATGGCCTTAATTGCACTTTGTACATTGGCCTTTTTTTAACGATCTTAGTCGGGCTTTAATCTGTATATAATACAGGAAGACATGGAAACCCAACCGCATCGTGTAATATTTACCTTTTGTGGCTGTAGTAACTCCTCTACTCCCTTAATTTTGAAATTAATCACTGAATTAAGGGAAGGAACATCTACGTGAAGTTTCTTGAATATCATCCACAGAAAATCTAGGTCTGCACGAGACTGAAAGTAGCAATTTAAATAGCAGAATTGACTAGATTATAATGATTACAATTGATGGTATAAATAGCTATTGCATTATTGTTTTCTTTTGCGAACTATTTGGTTATGAAAATGGAGAGCAGTAACTGATGATAAAAAAATGATAAAAAAATTTAACCATGCCAACCAGAAATACGAATATAGTATCGATATTCTAAAAATTTATTTGAAAATTGTTACAAATGTACTTCTTAGCCCCTGTTCTGCCGCCCCTAGAAGCTATGAAATAGGTTCATGTGCAATGCATGCACACTGTTTTAGCATGAAACAAATAATCTTGGAGAGGGAAACCTTGCAACTTATCTGTAGATGAAACTCGCTGCTGTAGTTCGGTGTGTGTTTGACTGGTTGTACGACAAGAATTGATGTTTTACTCCAGACTGAAATAATTAATGGCCGTTTTCAACTACTAAAGACGCATAATACGCCAGGACCAGGGCGCTTATATAGAGGCTTTTATCTATGTGTGCGCCCAACACCAATAACAAGGCGTAAAACACATTATTTTTACATGTGTTTCACGCCTTGTTATTGGTGTTGTTACGCGGCTATTTAGGAAACCTTTCGCGGTGCTGGTGGCTTTTTTTAGTCCTCCATCCGCGGTGGAGCGAATTCAGAAGTACCTGCGATCAGAGTTATGGTAAAGTTAACCCGGCTTTGAAAACTAGAAACACTTCGTCATACACTACATCAGGGCAAAAATCGTCAAATCGCTTTATTCAATTCAATTCTTTGATGATAAATGAAAAATTACCTTCGGTCGGGAAACGTTATGGACGTAGCTGTAAAGCAGAAAAAATATCTCAGACGGAAACGGAAAGTATAAGCCGTTGCCTTGCTCAGATGGTCGTAGCATATTTTCTCTGTCGCTTTCTTCCTCGCTATCGCTTTGCTCCGGCTCAGAGTCGCTCAGGGCGACGTCACTGAAAGTATCGTCGCTTCCACTGTCAGAGTTATTCTCAAAGCTAATATCTTCGCACATTGGTTCTTGCATGAATAAAAATTCCTGTTGACTTGTGGCATATACGTCGGTGGGTTCAAATGTGTCAGAAACCAGCTGGATATTTTGTGTCGTCGTCCTTGTCGCGAGCTGTTTCATACGATGTCCTCTTGAGGTTAAATGGACAGAATACCTATCCCACGACTCAAAATTAACTGCACAGATGTCACAATGATATCGACATGTTCTTTTTTTCATTTTTGCGTTCAAATTAAATCAAGAATTTTTATTTACCAAATTAAATATCCCTTTGTTTTGTTAAATTCCCCGCGACGTGCTTGCCTGGCAAAAAATTTTCCCGCTTCGCATTTAGCGATTTTGATTGGTTGATTTACGTAGGTACTTGTACCTGATTGGTCGAGCCAGTAAAGGACAACAACGCATGGATGCTTTTGCTAAAACATATTTTAAAGCAGAGTTTTTTAAGGCCAAATTTCGCGCCATATTTAATTTGAAAAATGACAACCAATGAATTAAGAGCATTGGGAGCTTCACGCAGGTAAATATAATATTAAATTGAACGCGTTTCATCATTATTTCGAATATTGGTCTTATAATTTCCGAAACACTGTAGGCGAAACAATTTGTTGAACGATGTTGACATTGCCCTCAACGGCAGCACGAGAAACGCACAAAGTCAAAGGAGAGGACCGTATGGCCGTGGGAACTTTCCTGCTAATATATTTGACGGTAAACAATATTACATTTTAATATTTAGTATTTTTCTGAAATTGTCTGTACATAGACATAATAGTACTGAATAAACTTTGACATTTTTTTGCCAGATGATTCTGAAACGCAAGACCCGAATTTAATGAGAGAGCCGGACACGGAGACGATGATACTAAAGGAATTGAGAGAGCTGAAAGAAATGGTCAAAGACGTGCAGAAACGGCAGGCAACAATGGAGAAGGCAATAAAAAATCTGGGCTCCAAGTTTGACAAGCAAGAATTTGACTTGGCCAAATCAAGCCATGCAGTCAGTATTTATTTATAAACAACCATGCATTTTTTTGCGTTATATTTGGCACATAAGACTTTATTCTTTTTTTATAATCTACTTACTAAAACTATTATAACAGACAAATGTAACGAAAATATTGGCAAAGGCATACATTCAACTTGGACGGTTTCCCAAGACCAATGAAAGCAAGACTGTAAGTGTGTACATACACACATACATACATATGCATAACAACACTAAATATTTTCAGAAATACACTACATTTTGTTTTATGCAATATTATGATATGATTTTGAATTAAGGAACAACTACGGATTGAGTTCGAGAACTCACCATACGGGCTAAAAATTGAAGAGCTAATGAGCAAGGTTGACAAATTTGAGGGGAAAAAGTTCACATATTGGAGAAGTGAAGAGAGGAGAAGGGTAAAATTTTATCAATCCAAAATGCCTCTTGATTAAATAAGTGTTTAAATAATAAATTTAGTAAATTAAATGTCTCTCCACCTCAGATACTTGGAATTGGGAACTGGTCAGCCATGGAAAAAGCTTCAATCAAGGAGCTCTCTTCAAAGATTTGTGGGCTGCTAGGTGTGAAGTTCAATGCTACTCTAGAGAGTACAGTGCATCATCACACTGCTCTTGTGGTAAGATTATCACACATAATTTGTACTTCTTGCTTGTTGCAAGATCAAATAAATTCCATTCTATATAAAAGATTATATATGATTAAACAATTACTTTATGGTTTGCATGTTTGGATGGCCTGATCCAATAAAAAAAACTATTAGTTATCTATTTACTAGTATCTAACTACCAGTGCTATAGGATTTGCAATTGGGGAAATAGGTTTGTAAAATTAGCATGTAATGGTGACCTTTTTGGCAAAATTTACCATACCATGCAGTGGAGCAAGGTTTTTTGAATTTGACTTTAGAAACTAGGCTTGATGTATGTAGATTAGATTAAATGTACTCAAAAACAACAG